AGATATAATATATTATATAGATTTTCTAGATTTTAAGAAATTTTAAAATAATATTTATATTACTTTACTATATATTTCTACTTTTTATTTATAAAAATTAACTTTATAAATATAATATAAAAAAACTAGAGATATTATTTTTTTAAAAGCTCGAAAATACAGAATATAAGATATATATTATACTAAATTAACACTAATATTAATATTTATTTATATATATTACTTAGCCCATACCTTTTAATATGGTTTCACAATCTGAAAAAGACTTAATAAGTATTTATAATAATTTAGGAATCAATTTAATTAATACTAGCATTTATTTAAGTTTTAGTTAAGTTTAAACTTAATTTAAATCTACATTAAATAGAGTATTAGGATATTATTTATTTATTTCAGAATATTCTTTAATAAAGATATTTTTTATCTTATAATATAATTATCTTAAAAATAATTACTTTTAGTAATTCCTGTATGAGCACGTATAATTATCTATTATTAATAAATTTTTAATTAACTAATATATAATCTACTCAAGATTTAAATCTTTTACTTATATTTAATCCAGCAGTGAAGCTTTTTATCAAAATATATTTAATATCTTATTTTTATTTTTATAAGAGCTTCTTTTTATAACTTAATATTTTATATAGTATAAATCATATATTTTATAGAATGATTTTTAAATTTTTTTTAAGAATTTTTTTAAATATATATCTCACAGGAAATTAAAATATATAAAAATATTTTAACTACTTATAACTTAAATCTAGTTTATAAAGAAAATCCCTTAAACTTAATATATAATTTATTAATAATAATACTCAGTTTAAATTATATTAAAATATATATAATATTAAACCTAGTCTCTATTTTATATATATATTTATTATTATTATATAGATATCCTATTTACTTTTATAAGTATATAAAAAAAGAATATCTTATTAACTAATAATATTTAATATTTAATAAAATCTTTAAAATATTATATAATAAGTCTGATATATCTCTAGATTCATAAATATATATATATATATATTAAAATCTTTAATAATTAATATACATATTATTTTATTAAAGAATAATTTAAAATATTTATCTCTTATTTCTTTATTTTATTCTATAATACTGAATACATTTGTTTTACTAGCAATTATCTTAAATAAAAAATTAATTTTGATTAAATAAGCCTGCTAAAATATAACTACTTATTAAGCTGTATAATATATTAACGTAATCGGTAAGCGAACCGGCAGTGTAAGCGAGCCGGCACCCGCGCCCACCCAAACAGCCTTCCATGAAAAGATGAAGCTTTTATACATCATATATTAATAAAATAACATGTTTAATTGGTGTTTTAACGTGTAGGACGTCTTGTTCTTGTATGCCCAATTGTATTACACTCGCTGCAGCGAGGTGGTGCCCGGCGGCGAGGTTGTTCCTCGCCGGCAGTTGATCCTTCAAGCTGACTTCCACCAACATCACCAGCTTCACAAATTCTTTTAAACGCGTTTTTGGCCTCGTCAACAGTGAGGCCGTTTAAACCAGCCATTTGGCGATGAGATCTCTTGTTCTTGGTGTTTTGCCTCTCCAATCCAGTCTGTAATTCATCAACTTCCTGCCCAAGCAAAGCAGCCCGGTTGAAGGCGATTTCGCATCCCTTTATAATATAGGATAACGCTGCTTTCATCTGCGAGGACGGGCTGATTGTACATTCACGAAGAAGCCTTTCAATTGTAGTTTCATGCCTCCGCAATTGCTTCGTGTTCTTGGGCATTTTTGGCACTGTTAACGTGGTGGTGATACTGCCGGTTGGAGTAGGCTCACGGAGCTGTATAATCAGCCTACCAAGGACTTCGTCCGGCTGGAATGGAACCAATCCTGAAGCCTTAAAGGCGTTGCAAATAGTTGATTCTTTAAAGGCAAGAGAACGTGCTTCTGGGTATGTATCCAAGAAATTAATCTTATCAATATGGTGAACGCCCTGGCAGATCAGCCGTTCCACCAAGCTTCCGTACGCTCATTTTAACGGTGTAAAGCAAGAAACGTCAAGCGGTTGACAAAGGTGTGAAGAATGCGGAGGCATACAGATAGGAACAATGCTATTTTGACTACATATATCGTCAAATTCCGTAGTTAAATGGGAGTCGTGCCTGTCAAGAATTAAGAGGCTATATTGCCCAATCCGCCGGTTCTTAGTGGAAGGAATAAAGTGTTCACGAAGCCAATGTAGACCGATATCATTGGAAGTCCAGCTATTTGGTGATAGATTGATACGCCAATCAGAGGGAAGAAGGCCTTGATACCATGCCTCTATATGGACTTTTCCCTTAAGAATCAAGTACGGTGGCAACACCACACCGGCGGCGTTGATACACTCAATTGAGGTCACCCATTCTCGATTCCCTGGCTGTATAAAAAACGGCTTGCCTACACAGTCAGACCGTGTAACTACACGGGCTGTAGCCACCATTCCCATAGCGAAGCCGGTTTCATCAAAGTTCCAGATATCTTGATCAAGAACACCGTATTCCTTCTTTGCAGCTTCAACACGGTTGAACCACTCAGTCAAAAGCTTTGGATCTTCACATTTCGCACGTTGGATATGATATCTTCGAAAGAATTGATTCTTTAATTCCGGAGTACGTTTGACGAAGTTATATACCCATTTTTCGCCCACAGAGACTGTGGAATCCGGGTCACGTTTCTGAAGAAGAATTGTTGCCATACTCCGAACATATGACGGCCGAGGATGAAGCCCACGCTTTACAAGCGAGAGAATCCAATCCTTCAAAGCCTTCTCTTCAAGATGAGTCAATTTCATAGAGTTGGCACGTTTATTTGACCTTGCTTTGACTCCTTGCAGGCGTTGTTGTAGAGTTGAACGTGGAACGTTAAAAACACGTGCTGCTTCCGCCACAAGTGGGGTTTCGCGCTTTTGAATAGCCTCAATAGCAAGGCAGATTCGGCCTTCTTGTTCCACCAAGTCTTCTGACGATCGAGGCATTTTTGGTGGAATTCTTGGTGGTTGAATTGCTTCAAATTCCAAGACGCGAAACTGACGCGCGCGGGTGCCGGCTCGCTTACACTGCCGGTTCGCTTACCGATTACGTTATGATAAAATATTATTTTATTTAATTAAAGAAATAAATATTATAAATCTATTAACCAGAATCTTTTTCTTTATTAAATTCTATTCTTAAAGAATCTCTGATAAATTTTAATTAATATTTAATAATAAAAGATATATATATATATAGCAGCTATATTAATTCTCTTTAAATAATATAATAATCTTTTTTATGAATTAAAGCAGCTATATAATCCTCTATATTTAAATTTTAATAAAAAGTTTAAAAAATATAAGACTAAAAAGATCTGTAAGCTGTATAAAAGCCAGTATTTATAAATTTAATAAAAATTTAAGACTTATAAAGTTTCTTTTAAAGATTATAGAAAATTAGATATAATAAGTATATATCAAATTATACTGATATTTCTTTTTCTTCTAATTATATAAATAATATAATAAAATCTAAAAGATTAGTATATTATATTAAAAGAATATTAAATAAAACTTACTTTTTAGTACTCTTTCTCAAAGCATTTACTAAATATATTAAAAAAAATAAAAAAATAAAGATATTAATATCTTTATACTCCTAATAAAATTACAAATATAATTTGATTTTAAATTAAAAAATAAAATAACTTACTATTATCTTAGAATTTACAGTACTTGATTTCTGAACAAATATAAGATTAAGATTAAATTTAAATAAGATTTAATCTTATATTGTCTTATTATAATAAATAAAAAACTATTTTTTTAATACTGAGTTAGCTTACATACTATATTAGATTTATATAATAAAAATATTAAATTTAAATTTAATTTAAAAAAATCAACTATATCTTTAAAATAAGCTTATTAAATATCTTATTTACTTTATAAACTGATAAATCTGAAGCTAATAATAAAAATAGATTTTTATAATAAACAAAATAAATCATTTTAATATTATTATTCTTAATATTAAAATACTTAAAAATAATAAGATAATCTTAAACTTTATTAATCTTAATTTAAAAGTACTTACTTTTATTTATAACTATTTCTGTATCTAAAATTAAATCTATATTTACCAAAATATAAATTCAAAAAATATAGAAATAGTATCTAAATCAGATTCAGATTTAAATTTAGATAAGCTTTACTCATTATTTAATAACTTATTAAATAAATCTTTAAATATTTTTTTATCATATATATATTACATTATTAAAACAAGTTATATTAGTATAAAACTTATTTATAATATTATATAATTAAAAACTTACTTCTAGTAAGTCAATATTATTAATAAATTAAATATATTTATTAATTAATTATCAATTAACTATAATTATTAAATAAATATAATTATCTCTCTCTGAAGTTTAAGCAGAGTTTAAATTAAAAAGAATGTTATAAAGTTTTTTTCAAATTATAACAAATTTTAAAAAAAGGTTATATAAAAAACTTATCTAGAATTAAAGAACTAATTAATATATATTTATCTTCTAATATCAGATCAGTTCTCTTATATAAAAAGCTTATCTGAAATCAGAAAATTAATTAATATATATTTATTTTCTAATATTAAATCAGCTTTTTTATATAAAAAACTTATCTAATATCAGAGCTTATCATATATAAAGTTAATCTACTATCAGACTTAAAAATATCAGATAACTGAGCTTATTCAGTATCAGGAATTCTCTGAACCTTGCCAAGCAGTTTTTCCAGCACCAGTCTGACACCCTCGCAGCTGTATCCCCGGGGTCGTGTTTCGTTAGGCCGTTGACCTCTCTAATGCAATCAAGCATGACATACGGAGACTAACCCAGTTCAGCTAGTCATTCCGCGGCGAGGATCCGCGATCCCCGAGGTTGGGGTCTCCCTCTCTCTTTGTTTCTTCCCCTGTCTGTAGAGGCCTCCTCATTACTGTCTCTCCACCATGGAGCAAAGACACATTCCAATCATCTCGTACAGCGATGGGCGCGAGGTCCTGTCTCGTGTGGCTTTTGTCGGGCCAACAAGCTGCGCTGTGATCGGGGGCAACCGTGTTCCAATTGTCGACTACGCAAAAGATCGTGCGTCTATGCCGGACGCACTGACCAGGGGGGTCGACCGAGGGAAAGTCTGCCATTCCCTCCTCGAACTCCATTATCGACTGTGAGAAGTGGTGCTGAGGGGGGCGGCAAATCAGTCTCGTCCAGAGATATCTCCCACGCATTTACCCGCATTCAGGCGCTCGAAAACGCTGTCTTTAGGCACGCTGCATCCGGTTCATCATCAACAGCACAGCCTAATTCATCTTCTAATCTCCCTGAGGTATATTATTCTAGTTACTTTGTCAGGTGAGAAGCTTGACCATAGTTGACTTATTTGGAACCCCGAGTCCACGACAGGGTTTGGAAACCTTCTACATCTCACCAAGCCAGATCCTCATATCCAGGGCCGCCCTGACTTAGATTTGATATGTCGCTGCCTCCCGTCGACTGACAATGCACGCGTGCTCTTCGGTCATTTCAGCCACGGCTTACATATGAACTTTGGCGTGCTACATGTCCCATCCACTCGCATTGTCGTGGAGGAAAGCTACCGGCAGATGAGCCAAGGGGAGACCCCTATTGATGCGACCCTGCTCTTGTTACTGAGCATATTCGCCAACGCCACCTTTGTCTGGACGCCATATCTGGTGCATAGCCTGCGCGCGACACCCGCATAAGCAAAAGAGGCCTATATTGCATACAGTCGATTAGCTCTCGGGCTATTGAATCACATCAACGGCAGCACTGGCGGCCACCAACCTTCTTACATATCCCCTCACTAACGCTGATGGATTTCCCACTACAGTAGATCCTCTACACACGCGCGGGCTGTTAATGGCGCGGCCAATGCGCACCCACTGCCTGGACTCGCCCAAAGCGCGCGAGCAGTGTCGATTGAATGGATGCGACGGTGTCGAGATTGAAGTGCAGCGCCGCATTTGGTGGCACATGTTCTCTTCAGACTGGTATGAGCGCTATTTCCTTTCTAGGATGAAAGATGACTGACTACCTGCAGGCTGTTAGCCTTCTCCGGGGCTCCGCATGATGTCACTTATATCTTTCTGCGTAGTATCCCAGCAACACAGATGACGAGTTCATCACGCCAACCGGCGTCATCTATGATTTCCCTCGCTCGGTTCCGACCGCCATGTCAGCGTCGATCGCGCGCATTCAGCTGGCGGAGCTGTGCGAAGAGGCCGTGAACTGATTACCCTTCAACGGTCTCGAATCTAACGAGCACGACTACGATACTGTCCTTGCGCTAGATGTCCGTTCTCTGGAGTACTTATAAAGTCTCCCTGTCTTCTTCCAGCTAGATGCAGCCAGTATCCAGCAAAGTCAAGCCATTTGCGAGAAACGACCGTACATAGCATGGCAGCGTCTTATCCTCCATTTCAGTACCCACACGCGATTATGCTGGTTGCACCGCCGCTTTCACTTAGAGAGCGCTGTGCAAGATCGTTACGCTTATTCGCGCGAGGCTGGTCTACGATCAGTGCGGATGGTGCTAAGCGTACGGCAGTTGATGGAGGACACAGGGCCCCTGATTAGTGTCAATCCCTGCCGACTGTGGTCAGTCATGGAGCATGTCTTTTGTGCTGCTATCATGCTGGCCAGCGATGTGTCTCTGTATCCTACGGCGCCTGATGCCACGACGCGCCAGGATGAGGTATGGGCAGCATGTCGGCTGCTTGAACAGTTGACACCCCATGTAAATGGCATTCAGCAGATGCTACAGACCCTCCGGGCCACTCTACAGGGGCGACGATCTCGTCAGGAGGTGGTGACTGAGGTGCCGTTTTCTGTGCCGTCCCCGCAGCCTCCGGCTACCGATGTCAGTCACTCAGTAACAGAGGCAGATGAACAGATGAGTTGGAATCAACTGTAGTCGGAGTTTGTGCAAGCAGCACTGCAGTTGGATCTGCAGGAATGGACAACGCTACTGGATGATATCGATGGGGCTCTGGGCACAGAGCGCTTGGGTAGTCCGGTGGGAACATGACACGATCTGGAGAGGCTACGCCAGATGGTTTCAACAAGCAAAAGAATCCGTATAAGTAACCTACTGATTCAAAGCCAAATCCAGCACGATCTTTCCACAGGTATGCCCAGTGTCCAGTCTTTCAAATGCTGGCCGAAACCTTTCCAACGGCCACACACTATCCACCAAACCTCGACACTTTCCCTCCTCGATCAACTCGGTGATCATCCCCAGCTGTTTTCCACTTGGCTGCATCACAAAAAAGATATCTTTCACTCCACCCTTCTCACTCCGCGGACAGACTCCTTCGGGTGGCTGAACAATACTTAGAACCGTTCCTCCTTGTTTAACAGCCCACCAAGCATCCTGCAGCGCTCGTCCGCCAACACAGTCAATGACCACATCCACCCTTTTTCCCGTCTCCTGTTCTACCCAGACCTTCAAGTCAGTGGCCCGATAATCCACAACCTCCTTTGCACCCATCGATCGCACAAGCTCGACATTGTCGGATCCACATGTTCCCACCACCTCAACCCCAAGCACCCTCGCAGCAACCTGCACAACCCACATCCCGAAACCCCCGGACGCAGCCGTAACCAGGATTCTCTTCCCTTTTCACGCCGCTTGAGCTTTCAGAACGTCCATCTCAGCGTCGGGAGAAACAACCCCGGCATGAATGAAGAGAATCTGCCATGCTGTCTCGGCTGATACCGGCACCGCTGCAGCCTCAACCCAACTCAAGCCCCTCGGCTTCAGGGCAAGCTCATCTGTAGTTGCGATTGTATAATCCCGCGCATTGCCGGGACGGATGTAGTTCGTGCGTGCGTAAACCTCAGCACCCGGTTGGAAGGGGGAGTCAGGGGGCGCGGAGACAACAGTACCGGAGACGTCGGGGCAGGGAATGAGATCTCGGGGCTGTGGCGGAGGGAAGTTCCTCGGCCAGTGAAGCTCCCCTGCGCAGGGAGAGCAGGCGTGGACTTGAATCAGGTGTTCGTTTTTAGTTAGGTTAGGGGTTGGTATTACGTGGGACGTGAGCGTCAGATCTTCCGTGTTTGATTCAGCGGTCGGCTGGATAAGGGTACGTGCCGTTCGGGAAGCCATATTTTTTCAGGATGATAAATACTATATGGAAAACAAGAGTAAAACGCAACTTCAAATAAGCATTGAATTCTACTAACACAGGGAAGCAGGGAGGAGGATAGATATATGCCCACGGGATACCACACCTAGACTGTACCCAGATAAAACAACGCAAAACCTGTGATAAATCTAGACAACTCCATTTCCTCGTATTCAACCCGAAAACGTAGCATTCTTGCAATGATGACGGAATGGCTGAGCGGGGTAGGAGTACCTCGTAATGGTAATCTTTTCTTCGTCTTATCTTATCCGCAGCATTACTACCTAGGTGAATTGTAGGATCGTACACAAGCTGTTCTGGGAGGGATACGAACTAGATTGATTGATTGGTTTGGTTTGGTCGGGTCTCGCTTCCCAAGAACCAACTTATCCACTAGCATAGCGACAACCAAGAAAATCAAAACATTTTAGGAAGTATGCAACGAAGCAACAAAGGAAAGAAAAAAAAGCAGCAAAAAGCAAAAACATACAACAGAAGGGATTCGCTGGTGGTCACCCACCCAACTACTAACCTCCCGGCGTGTGGCTTAAGTACGGCTGAGCGGACGGGAAGCCCTGTTTTCCACACCCTGTGGTCGTATGTACTAACTCACTACTAGAAAGGCTTTATAATATACGGAAAATAAGGCTAAGTCCCACTAAACTTAGTGCTTCCCGGGATTCTAGGGAAAGTAATAATGGCCCTGCGGGTAGACTGGCTGGTCGGGAGCTAGTTTGGGGTATAGACGGGCATCTGTAAGCCTTCGAGGTTATTGTTTGCTGATGGGCAGTAGAATATGGTTGGGGATGGTTTTGTTCCATTGAATCCGGAGCACGGTAAGTATATATAGTGGCTGCGGGAACAGTTCCACCCCGATGAACAAATGAGAAAGAGTACTATGGTAACGATGAAAATAGTACCAATCCTGATACTCCCAGCTGTTTAATCAAGAGAAACAGTCACTAGATAGGTCAGTGAAGATTCACGAGCGAGGACTGGTAGGGCTCCACCCGGACCAAAGTTGTTAACAAGACTAGCACGGGTATCAGATCAGTCTCCAAGAAAGTCACATGCACAATGAAATGAATTGAAGCCGCCTCGTCCGCCGCGAGCACCACCAAACCCCCCCACGACCCCAACATCTAGAATTGCCAAAGGGAATGGAACGAAAGGAAAGATCCATGGTTGAGCCGCCGCCCCCTCCACGACTATCCACTGGCTACGGTCCCTGCCACGGCCACCTCTGCCACGTCCCCGTCGAGGCGCAGTGGTACCAGTGGTTGTGTTGGCGGGGTTGCACAGAGGGAAAAAACAGCCCGGTATTCAACCCCCTTTGCAATTGCTTTTCTTTTCTCCATACACTCAAAGCTTTCGAAGGAGGACCAGAGAGACAATGTGCGCCATTTCTACCCCTCCGCCTCTTCTTTCTCTTTATGATCTTATTTCCTTCCAAACCTGCCTACCTTTATATCCCCTACTGGAATTATAAGGACTGGACAGCCCGCAGCCCGGATCAGGGAGAAAGTCGGTCTTAATCTGTGTTAATGTGGTAAAGGATCTCTATATTCGAGACTGGTGCCCGGTCTATATATGGCTAAGAACCACCAGCAATTTGGGTACTATGCTGATCAGAGAAGTATTACTCCAACTACCATCCTCTCTCCTGCTGCTTCATGGCATACCAATGCTTCACATACTCCAGACCGGTGTGTGGTCCATATGGCTCAACTTCCCACGGTGGGATCGGAGCAACAAGCTCAGTCTCTTGCCGACATGACTCTCGCAGCTTGTCCAGACTGCCTCCACGGTCATAAATACTGCCATCTGTGGAGGAGCCTCGCATGCTTCCTCTCAGCTCTTCTGTTTCCTGGGTGCTGACAATCCTATTCTTATCAAGCAGAACACCGTACCGCCTTCGTGCACCCTTTACCGTCACTAGATTCCGACACACATCCATCGCAACTTATTTAATTAGTCGAGTGAAAGGATCGCCCAACCTCCCTTCTCCCTACGCCACCCATTCTAACAAATCCTCCGGGTCCACACGCACATAGTCATGTTTTGATAGCAGGATCTCTGCCAGCAGATTATCTACACCCCGAGAATACCAATACAAGATCTTCCGCGAGCGCTGTCCCGGCTTACCTCCTTTCAGACCCTACAGCTTCGTGAACCACCAATCATCATACAAGCTAATCTCCTCTCTTACTAAGAATCAATACAAGGTTTATTGCGCATTGTCTCCCCGGTAATATCCCGGCCCACCACTATCCGCAATACTTTCATTCACCTCAATCCAGAGTGGATAATTCAGCTCGATGCTCTCCGTCGGAATCAACTTGATAGCAGGAAACAGGCAATAACAGTCCAGCCCATCACTTGCTGCTCGAGCCGGGACACCCCCAAAGCCAATCTGATACAGCTAATACCATTCTCCGGAGGGATAATATCCCGAATAAAAAAAATAAGAAGAGTCGCTGAACCCAACCGCCACCACATAGGCCTCGTTCTTCTGTCCGATCAGTGCTTGAATCACGTCCATAGTTCTGCCCAGGAAATGAGTGCGACAGGAGATTGCGGCGGGGCGGACCAGCTTTAGAACAGTGCCTTCAGGGATATAAACTTCGATGAGATCATGAAAACCATCATTGATGACTGTTCCCGGGGCAGCAGCGGCGATGAGGTAGTATCCGACCAGCATCTTGAACATGGTCTTCAAAAGATAGAAGTTGATGCTATGCTCGCTCTGTGGAGAGGTGCCACTCCAGTCGAACTTTAACCCTCCTCCACTGGTATTCTGCATGGAGCATGTCACGGCCCAGGGTCCGACGCCGTGACCGTCGTCGTCGACGAAATCCGTGAATGTACCGAGTTTATCATCGAACTGACGCTCCACAATCTTGGCTAGTCCCGATCGATTCCGACACAAAAGTTCCCGACATGCTACCAGATATACCTCGGTTCCAAAGCGGGTAGCCAGCTCGGAGATGCGCGTTGCTGCCATGCGACATGCGGTCACAAGGGCCGTCAGATCCGATCGATACCACGCAGGCTGGCGGGAGTTTCGACATAGAAGATCCACCAGATCGCTGTTTATCATGCCTCGAGAGTAGAGCTTGATGCACGGGATCTGGACTCCATCGTCATAGATGGATGTGGCATTGATGGACATACTTCCGGGAACCATTCCGCCGACATCAGTCAAGTGGCCGAATTGGGAGGCCCAGCCAATCAAATGATGCTCGTGGAAGATGGGAAGAATGATGATCACGCCGTTCAAGTGACTGACAGCACCCTGGACCATGTATGTGTCATTGGTGATGAAAACATCGCCTTCTTCGATGCTTCCCGTCCATGTCCCAAGGAACTCCGTGATGAAGCTGCCGAATTGACCCACGAGCATCTTGCCTTCTGCAGTCGTGATGACATTGAATTCGTCTTGCTGTTCTCGAATAGCAGGAGACATACTGCAGCGGAGCATCAGTTTATCCATCTCGCCGCGGATGCATGCTAGTGAGGAAGAAATCAAAGTCGGTATGAGCGGGTTAGTACGCATCAACTCTGCTGCGGTTTCGGGAGTATGATGGATCGTTAAGAGCTGCTGCTGCTCTGCCAAGGGCTGAATGAGAATATTGCCTATGTGATCAATCTCACTCGAGTAGCCGGGAAGAATCAACGTGTTGCTATCCATCTCCGTGATGATGCAGGGCCCTTCAACCCGAATTCCCTCGAACGTGATCTTCTCTCGGTTCCACACGGTAGCCACCTGTTCTTGGCCCTCCATGATAATAATCTGTGTGCCAACCATGGCTGAGGGTGAAGGCTCGCTAGTCTCTGCTTTTGGAACCACAGGTAGTTCCACATCCGGGGAGGCGTCCTCGAGGGTTACTCCGATTCGCATGAGTTCGAGTTCATAGTCGGGAAGACAGTAGCCGAACTGCTGTTGATGCTTTGTGTTAAATGCTTCTTGTAACACCCGATGCCATTCCTGACTGTCAAGGTGAATTTTGTCGCGCGAGAGATTGATGCTGATTGTGAAAGCCTGCTCTTTATATCGGACATCAACCTCGTAAGTGGCAACCAACAGCATAGGCCAGTCCGGACCATAAGACTCTTTCATTGTCTGTTCATAATGCTTTTCCAGCCTTTCCAACTGATGTCGTAGTTCCTCCGACGAGGTGTCTCTCACTATTTAAGTAAACATGACTGACTGCTTATAACTCAGCTTAGTTATCAGGTCACCCTGCGTACACAGAATCTCTGGAGATGGAGGAACAATGACTGGCCATGCACTGAGAAGCTTTTCTATTATATTAACATGCAGAGGCCCAGCACCACCAAATACAACGAGCGCAAAGTCTCGTGAATCATATCCTTGTTTAACAGAGACCAAGTACACAGCACCATACATGATTTTATTAACAATGTTAATCATACTCTCCGCAGTTTGCCTGAGAGGCAGCCCTATTATGATAGCAACTTTCTAAATTGCTGACTTTGCTGCTCCTGTATCCAGCGCAAATTCACCACCCAGCAGTATTTGGGGCAGATATCCCAGTATGAGGTTAGCATCGGTCACCGTCACGTCTGTGCCTCCCTTTCCATAACATGCGGGACCTGGCGTTGCTCCAGCACTTTCGGGCCCAACTCACAAGGTCTCGGTGACTTCCATATATATCGCGATCGAGCCACCTCCAGCACCCACGGTATGAATGTCCACTGCCGGTGCACGCACTGATAATGTATCAACGACCGTATCGCGGCGGATGCGCGGCTTTCCATCCCAAATGAGCGCACAGTCAGTTGAGGTTCCTCCCATGTCAAGAGTAATCAGATTCTTGTAGGGGGTGCTCCGAGCGACCGCATCAGCCACACCTTTGGCTCCTGCAGCCGGGCCAGACATCAGGATATTCACAGGGAATTTCTCAACAAGGCCAATGCTCGTCAAGCCGCCATCACTCTTCAACACCCGAATCGCCTGCGTCTCGGACGCTAGATGCTCGACAGCTCATGCAGATAGTTCTGCATTATCGGCTTCACCAAAGCATTCGTACACGTTGTGACCGTCCCGCTCATATTCACCTACCTCCCGCAACACATCACTCGAGCAATTAACCAATACATCCGAGCCGCATACTTCTCGAATTATCTTCGCGACCAACTCCTCATGAGCAGGATTACTATATGAATTCAGTAGCGAGACCGCCACTGCTTCCGGCTTCTCTCTCTTCACCAGCTCCGATAAATCCCTCCTCAACGCATCCCCATCGACCGCAACAACCGGCTCACCACGAACCGACATTCGCTCCGTACACTGAACCACCCTTTCAAGCGGCACCGGAGGATCAGGAGGCGTATAATAAAGCCAAGCCCCAAGACCGCCAGGGATTTGTGAGCGACGAACAGACAAAATATCCTTATGACCCGCCGTTACCACCAACGCGGTCCGCGCACCCTTTCCTTCCAGCACGGCATTAGTCGCCGTCATGGTCCCATGGTGGATAAAACGAAACATTCCATCCCAATCATACCGCTGCTTGAGGATCTGTCGCACTTTCGCTATTCCGTTACGGATCTCGATCGTTTGACTGGGAGTCGTGGTGGGGACTTTGGCGCGGACTGTCCCTCTATGGGGAGTGAAGACGCAGATATCGGTGAAGGTGCCGCCTACGTCGACTCCGAGACGGAATTCGTCAGTGATGGCTGCCATGTCTGTAGAACGCTTTAGATGTAACTGTAAGAAATATAGTCGGGGGTTGGATTCAGGTGATTTATCTCAACAGATGAGGGGTTTGCCGTGATCGGCATGATGGTATGTCTTGGCTGCAGATGGTCGGGACCTTTGATAAGGCCCTGTACTGGTGGGGGCTGTTCTAGTTTGTTTGATGGTATCTCTTCCGGGCGATGACGCGTCTGTTGTGTTGGGGGAGAATTATAGTAAAGTATCATGAGAACGCGAATGAGCCTACCAGCGCAGGCATTCATACTACGGAGTATAAACCCGGTCCATCATCATCCATTCTGTTCCGTCTTCCATAATTAAACTTGAAACTACAATATAACCCTTTCCAAAGGTAAAAACAGTACATACGACCACAGGGTGTGGAAAACAGGGCTTCCCGTCCGCTCAGCCGTACTTAAGCCACACGCCGGGAGGTTAGTAGTTGGGTGGGTGACCACCAGCGAATCCCTTCTGTTGTATGTTCGTCTTGACCAGTCTTTTTGACTGGTTGGGTTTAGCGCCCGTGCCGCCCTGTCTTCAGTCCTTCACCCAGAATTACTAATCCGTCGGAAGTAAAGTCTCCCGGCTTCCGTGTTGCCTGTGATCTAGCCACACACCAGCCGCCACATTTAGTGTTTGCTCCCTCGAGAGATTTCAACCGAGAGCTACCGCCGGACATTTGCTGATGACAGCCTGCATCTGTTCGCGACCTAATCGCGCTGGTTTTCCTCAACAACGAGATAATTGCAGGACGACAAGACTTGGACATCTTGAACCAAAAACCATAGGCTCTGACCGGCCTTCAAATCAATATCGAGTCATACAGCATCGAACAGAAGGGAACCCTGGTCGTAATGACGAGAGGTCAGTCTTGCGCTAGGGTCTCTATCTTGAATGTGGAGTGAGCTGGCACGGAATAGTGAGTTGACTCGCTGCTGCTTACTGGAGTGGAGGCGCGCTGTGGTCGGATCTGAAGGCAGGCAGGCATTGCTGGCCTGCCTTCGTTTGTAATGTTTGCATCGCCTCGCCACGTCAAGCAACACAACAAACAAGACAAGCAGACACACAACTGACCAACAAATGCTTCGTATCATTGATATCTATGTCGGAATCATCATTTCAGGACATTGAAAACTGGTTAGACCAGCTATCAGGCGCTTCTGAAGCTCCAACGCCACCTTTAACCCTTCCCAGACCGTTGTCCACAATAAGCGGCTATCGTCAGAAGAGGCGGGTGTCTATGGCATCTGCACGAGATTCAAGCCCGTCCAAGCGACCCCGAATTGCTGATGATCGGACAATAACGTCAGAAATTTCGCTTCGTTCCACAACCACTACGTCGCGGCAGGTAAGCCCGACTCGAGATATCTTAAATCAGCTCCGCCTTGCGGATCCTTCAGTCGTCTGTGGTCCACTTGCATTGAGCCCGCCACCAGAATCTGTTATTGCCTTAAGGAGGCGTTTGACGGACGGATTTGGGCATAATATAATCCCCCGAGGACTTGAGGTTGGCTATTTTCGTGGTTCTGTAATGCATCTTGCTCACTAATGATATAATAGTCGCGCATCCGTGCCTTCGACCCCTTCTCCGCTGATGAGATACCCAAAACAGCGTTCTCCGACTCTAGCACCCTGTCTGATGTCGACCTCGATGAGCTTTGGAGTGAATTGAAAACGATATGTTTTGATGCAAGACAATGCGATATCTACGGTAAGGATGAGAACGCATGGTGTCTAGATGTGGTGCAGCCTATTTTGATTTCTTCAATCAAAGGGTGTCAGTTGTTGCAACTCATAAGCGTGTGAGTTCCCTTGTCTGTCGAAATAACCTCTCTAATCGAGGCATTATCGCCATAGACAGTCACAACAGATCGGCCCGAGCATTCTTCCCAGATCCAAAAACGCTTTAAGCAAGATTAACAAGAAGGCTGACTATACTCTCTCTTTCACTTGCCGTGATACCTCGGTGCGATATTTTTACGACAGAATAAGCCTTGGCGGGCATGGCTACCAGCTAAGCCAAACGACAGATGCTTTCACGAAGAGAGTACTCTTGTTCTCGGGCATGGAGGTCAAATCAGATGAAGGGAGCAAGAAAGAAGCGCTCGCAGAGCTAGCGATCTGACTTGCTGCCGGCTTAGAGAAGATCCGGCAATTAGGAGAGCAGGTAAAGGGTGAAGGCGAGGATTCTGCGGATTGGCTGCTACCGAGCATTGGGTTCACTATTATTGGTCATGACTGGTATATATATCTAGCGTATAAAATTGGCAATGAAGTGGTGAGAATATTTTTTGCGTCTTGAAGTTCTCTGATGGTTTCTCGATTACTGACACTCGTCTATTGTTAGCACGTGGTTGGCCCGGTCAGCGCCATTGTTACTGATACTCGGACAATATATGGTATACTAAAAGTCCGCGATCTGGTGAAAAGGGTCGCGGAGTACTCTATTCAGGTGTACTGGCCTTGGATACGTGATGAATTACTACATCCGCTGGCGGCCTAAAGACAGGTATGCAAGGGAGACTTTTGATGATAATCAACTATATACTTTATTGGATTTCATGTCATGCAATACAAACAAGGATCATAAATGGAGTATTTCAGATGCAGAGCCCAAAAGAGAGCCTGACTACCCATGACGTGCTGGTTGTCAATTAGTTAACCGCCGGATTCCCACGACTAGATCTGCATACGGTGGAGGTGAAGCTTTTGTATTCCATTGTATTGCCCGGGCCGTACAACACCTTTATCAGGCCACGTCTGGCTCAGCGATTGCCTTAGACTCTGCATTAATTCCTGTGCTTTGTCTCTCAAAAGCTTCGAGGGTGAGGTCTCTGGGAGGAGCATGTAGAGCATGATCAACACAGACCCGGCCATGATCATTATCGCCCAAATGGACCAACGCCGGTTATGGTTCTGATAGGCGTAGCCTCCTATGAGAGGCCCGAGAAGAGGACCTAACGCGGCCATGGACCCCCAGACGCCCATAGAATACAGAAGATACTGGGATTCAACGATGTCGATCAGGCTTCCTTCCTCCACCGACAGCGAGGACCGGGCTCGCAGAGAATCCGCCCAGGAATCTCATCGATAAGAGCGTCCCGAAGTTATCCGCCAGCGCAGTTGGACTCTGGATGCAGAGAAAAATAACCAGGGTGGGAATGTAGACGAGGTTACGTCCGACAGAGGGAATTTCTGACAAAGGACCCCAAAGCTATTCAATCAGTGAATTTTGAAGGCCTTACGGCCGGAACACCTGCCGCAATCGGCATTTCTCCATTACTTTGGACATGATTCTTCAATGTATCGGCATTTACGAGTTTTCCAGTCGGTAGGATGACGGCCCCGACTGACAGTGGTCCCTTGGCCCAGCGGCTACATCTCGATCGCCCTATCCTGCAGCGTACCCGGAAAGTCCGCGCGTGCCAGCCATGCCAGAAGAGAAAGGTGAGATGCGATCAGTCAAAGCTCCATTGCCACAAGTGCATGGCCAATATTCGTAAGTGTACCGATTATATGGAGAGACAAACCGCTCTCCGGTCATCTCCTAACCAGTCAATCGCTCTCGACCCATGCGGTCATCTAGCCGCCACCGTCGATTCACAGTCACGATACGTCTCGAGCTCTTCGTGGAAGTCAGTTGGATCACCATCTGTCAGCCCTACATATCTGCCACCTCGGGACTCATGAGTCATGACCCATAGTATTGGTCCGTGCACAGATTCTAGGATAGAAGCAATATGATTGGTGATAGAGCCCCACTATGCATTTCTAGAGCAAATTCTCATGCAGTGTCATGTATGAACATGCACGCTGCTAAACTGTACATAAGTGCCAGGATAGAAGTAATACAATTGGTCATCCAGCTCCACTTTGCATTTTTAGAGCGAATTTCCATGCATATATGCATTATCATGCACGCTGATGGCCTGTGCACAGTCAATTAAGTGCTGGAATGAATCCTATTGGTAACTGAACACCCACTATAGATTCTTAATGTAATTAGTGGGTTCAGTTTTGATCCATCCTTCTGGCCCGTGCGTTCTGACAGTTAGTTACTGTGAGGATCATGTGTGATGGGCTTTGTCTAGTCAGGTTGGGGTGTGTTGTTGGTTTGGTGTCTTGGTCTTAGATAGATTGTTATTTGATGTAACCCTTTTTTTACTCGTGTAGAGAATTGAGGAGATTAGTGCTAATCTGCAGACTCTGCTCCGAATGATGAGTGTTAGGAGGTAGAATGGGCTCGCCTTGGATAGCTTGGACTCTGCACTTTGAATTGCCATTATCCAACGATGTTTTGGCTGTAGGTGATGTGACTTTGGGGGTTTCTTTCTCAACAATGAGAGAACCATAGATTTATTCTAAGAGGCACTGCGGCCACGCCCGCCCAGGCTACAACCACACCGGCATCTGCTACACCCCCTGCTTACTCAACCCGCAGCTTGTTCTCTATTGAAGGCTACAACTGAATGTAATCATTAAATCAAGAGTTTCGTAAGATAACTGTCTACGAGATCTCACGGAGTGCCTTAAACAAGGCATTACATAGAATGAAGAATACCTATCGGAATAGTTAGTACTCTAAGGCATTATTACAACCTCAGGTATGAATAGAGCCTCAGGTATACAGACTCAAGCAGTCATTCATAAGTAGCAGATACCCTGTCATTATTTCATATTCACTGTAGGACATAGTCAGCCACCTGACTGACCTGGCAACTTCCCCATCAGTATCACCACATTTGTTTCATCTTCCTCCACACACCGTTCAAGCATTCTCTTACTTTTTCTGCCTCAACCCTAGCTTTTACACTCGGAAAAGGCAGAAAACGAATCAATCATGAAGAATGCCACTTCACATTGTTCTGCTTTCAAAAGACCTACTGAGGAGCTGGTCGATCCGCAGAGGTGTCAGCTCATGCAACAGCTGCAAAAGAATTTCGACAATACACAAGTTAACCCAGTCGTATGGGCTTGCCTCTGGCATGCAGACATCTAACAATTAGAGGTTTATGTCAGCAACACTAAACAGAGGAACGAATGGATTCTCTGGAACAGTGCGAAACACTTTCTTACAGACAAAGTACCCTCCGCTATGATATTGGCCTGTAAGTAACCCCTAGCTGATACTATGCATAAGCTGACATTTATCAGGGGCTGATCGTACCAGAATGACCTCGGGGAAGGTTGACAATGATGGAAGGAAGGACGAAGGGGGCGAAGGCGAAAACAAAGGGAACGATAGAAGAGCTACCGGCAGTACTATCGAACCTGCTGGCTCTTGGTCCAGGAGCCCGACCAAGATACACACTCCGACTGTTAGAGCTAAGTCCCCGATGAGAGAAACTAGCCCTGCCTCGCCGAGTACAAGAGGGCCATGAGGGCTTCAGAATCTACCTCGAAGAATACTAACGGTGGCATTGTGATCGCGAAAAGCCTGGTATGTTGATCTAGTGTGCAGCATTATAATGTTCATTGCTAATTACCTTTACTCAGTGTCGCAAACGGGACCAAGACACATGCCTTATAACATATCTCCGCGAACCCATTGAAGTGGCTCACATCTATCCCTTCTCCCTTGGCAAGAAGAAGACTTCTGGGGGACCTTACGTCACTTTTGGACCTAGGAGAGGGTCAACAGATGGAAAGCGAAAGTCACAGGATCGGGTGGCACGGAGACCTGTTCAAATCTGATGTGCATGACGAATATCTGCCAGAACCTGTGGGAGAAGGCTCGTTTCGCCTTGCGGCCTATGTGCATCAGCGATGACCAGAAAGTAATGACCGCGGAGTTTTTCTGGCTTCCGGGGCACAAACGTTCTGGATACAAGGCCATCGACGAACCTCCCGTTGCTTTCTCCAGTGACCTCACGGCTTGCACTGTAGAAGAGATAGAAAGGGCCAAGCTTTTTGACATGCGAACAAAGTCAGAAATAAATTCAGGGGACGCACTTACCTTCAGTACTAGGGAACCGGTCAAATATTCCCTCCCATCGATAGAGCTGCTGGAGATGCAATGGACCCTGCATCGGGTTCTGGCCCTCAGCGGCGCTGCCGACGTCACCGATGAAGACCTTGACCCGTATATAAGAATGGGCTTGGGGCTCAATATCGTTGGAGAGGGTGAGGAAGAAGAGGATATTAAAGATGTAGAGATGAGACGAGGAAGATAGCGATGAAGATGACGACGACGATGTGGAAGAGGATAGGTCCGAGAGGGTGCCCAGACTCGCGGAAAACCATCCCAATTTCCCGATCCCGAGACCCAAAGAAGATGAAAGAAAAACGGTACCCGAAGAACAGATTCATCTCACATTGCGGATGTGCAACCAGATTATCGACTAGCAAATCACTGTTCATGTGTAATGATAACTAGCGCTGGCGAATCGCTGATCCGTTGTTAAAAGGATCGAATGTTTCCATCAAGTTCTGTTGTTAGGGTACCACCACCATAGCTGTTGCTACTGCTAATTGAGTGTTGTTTATACTGACGCCCATATAATCTATCTTACAGATGGTATTAAGACAATTACCATAGCTGCCGCAGCTGTTATAACCGTTATAACTGTTACGAGTAAGATCTTCCAAGGTGGTGAGACTTCGAAGATTATTCAGATTACATATGATACCCTAATAATCAATACCATCAGTATAAATAAGACAAATCCAGCGAATATAGTCGTTAATATCAGTAGAGTAATCAAATTCTATGACTATTCGTAGAGCAGTGGCCGACCCACCTCTTTGAGGGTAGGTTAAGGCGTACAGCGACGAGTAGATAATGATACCTGAGGGATATAAAGCCAACTGAGTGGCAAAAGACATCAAGGAAGGCCGGGTGTTGCAATGGTAGCATGCTAGTTTCCGGTACTAGAGGTTGCGTGTTCGAGTCACGCCTCGGTCGCTTCTTTCTTTTTTCTTCCCGTCACGTGGACCTACATTCCCGTGTGTTTTTGCTGCTCCTTGTTTTGTTGCTTCGTCTTGTCCAATTAGCTCTCTATCGCACCCCTCCTTTTTAATTTAACACCCCTAATCTGCTTCAATGATCTTCAACCGCTATCCCGCCATGCCTTTCTTCCCGCGCATACTCCCCAGACTTCGGCCACCAGCAAAACCATGGCATTGCCGCCATCGAAATCTCTCCCATCAACATCCCCAACCTCCAATGGGAACGATTATTGGAGACCCAGAGGATTTCTTTAAGTATACAAGCGGACGATGGCTTTGGGATGAAGAAACACAGTTAAAAGAGCGATACCGCAAATTCGACATATACGAGCTGCAAAAAGCTGCCATGGAAGCAACATCTACTGGGTCCTGTATGTCGATGGAAAAGATGGGAGAAGGATCATATAACAAATCCTTCTGTCTCACTATGGAAAATGGAACGGTAGTTGTCGCGCGAGTACCGAATCCTAACGCTGGGCCTGCTTTCTTGACGACAGCATCGGAGGTTGCGACTATGGATTTTGTGAGTTGCTCTATTGCCAGCGAACGGCTAGTATTTACTCAACACTTGCACAATGTCTGACACAATGTCTAGTTGAGAAACACACTTCAACTCCCAGTACCTAAGGTGCTCGCTTGGAATTCTACACCGGGCTCAAGGAGCCGGGTAGGCGCCGAGTACATTATCATGGAACATGCTCCGGGGAAGAATCTTGCAGATGCCTGGACAGAAATGGATACTGTGCATAAAGCTCGCACAGTAAAGGACGCCATTGATGTTCAGCGAAAGTTGCTATCTGTGAGATTTTCCGAGTAAGTAAATCGATGCCCTGATTGACCGATGTCTAATCGTATAGATATGGTTGCCTTTACTATACCAAAGACGCACCAAGCGGTTCTCGCCCTGCAATAGTTGAAGGTGATGGCGTATCAGACGAAGCCAAGAGTGACATCGCCAATCGATATTCCATCGGACCAGTGGTAGACACAGAGTTCTGGAAGAAGGAGCGAGGGGAGATGGATATCGACCGCGGGCCGTGTACGAATTCTTAGTCCATTTCCTCTCATCACCAAATTGACGATCTACAGGGACGTCTGCGATAACTTACATCCAAGATCCTGCTCATCGAGAAATATCCTGGATTGAAAAGCACGCGAAGCCGCGCTCCCCCGACGATCCCCTTTTCGAATCACACAGCCAAAACGATCCCGCTGAACACATATCCCTTCTCCAGAGATACATCGCCATTGCCCCTTATCTGATGCCACACGAAAAAGACATTTTAGGATCGTTCTTGTGGCATACGGACCTCCGCACCCCCAATATCTTCGTCGATGACAATGGCAACATCACCAGTATTATCGACTGGCAGAGCGCAAAAGCCGCCCCTTTGTTCCTACAAGGTCGGCATCCACGTTTTGTCAACTACAACGGCGAAGTGAGATTGAAATTGCCTGAGGACTTTGACCAGCTCGACCAAGATGCCCAAGCTGAAGTCAAGGACCAAGTCGCCAAGTCGACACTAATATATCTGTACGAGAAATACACAGCGAAAACGAACCCCCTTCTAGACAGAGTACTCCGATACCCGAATGGGAAGACACTAGCGCAGCCAACACACTACGTTGCCAATACATGGGATGAAGAGATCATACCTTTTCGAGAAACTTTAATTAGGTTGCAGAGGTACATGCCAGAATCATCCCCATTGTCTGATTATGCTGACTGGATTATCGCGAAGGGATTGGGACTCGTTGAACCATGACGTCAAGTGCCCGATTTATTTCTCTCCAGAAGATATACGCAAACACCGTGAGGATGGAAAAGATTGGAATGAAATGCAGGACTTTTGGGATGAATTGTCGGGAATCGTAGAGAGAGATGGTTGGACGTCACATGATACATATGTTGAAGTGAAGCCTTATTTTGACAAGATTCAGGATGAAAAATCTTCTCAGTCTGGCCGCGAGGGAAAAAGCTAAATAGGATGGCCTCTGGACGGTGTTGTTTTGGCCTGTTTTGAGGACTGAAGACCCACGCCTACAGAATTTGGGGATAGACGCTGGAAACGATGGGTAGATGCCTCAACCACGCCTCGGAATCAGTCAACAAGACAAGCAAACACACCAAGAGGAACATGCTGGTTGGACGCCCGAATAAGATGCTCGGAGGGAGAGGTTTGAGCCGCAAGTAATCGGCTGATCAGGTTGTTTTAGGTATCCTGATTTGCCGTGATGTCGACTTCTTCCTATTTCCCTATCTCCCTGAGATTTGGCGTTGCTTCATATTGCGATATTGGGATACAACTTTCTGGCTTCATATTCTTGCTTCAATGGAAAGTATCTACATAGCAATTAGCGAGATCCATTAGTCTAATAGATCATGACTTGACTTGGCTTAGTTAGATTGGCCTACCATAAATCTCCCAACGAACTGATACGTTATTCTTTTGCATCAATGACGCAAAGGCGGCACCGATTTCCGGACCCTTCATCACACCAACCAACATAAAACAGGCCCCCCACTCTTCAAATAAAACTCCCACAACACATACCCTTCGTTACAGCCAAAATGCAACCACTGGCGACATTCGGCCCTCATAACCACGACTGGCCTGCATTCTGCCACGTATGCGGAGACGCTATAATTCTATACGATCCAGAACTATACGAAGAATGTTGCCCGGAATTGCAATGTCGCCTGGAAGAAGATGACTATGTGTCTGGTCACCTATCTGAGCTGGAGAATATGCACATTCGCCATTCTGACATATGGAGAGGTCTATATCGAGCAGGTAAGCAGCTCCCAATTCCCAAAGCCGTTATGGATCAAGCCGACTGGACAGTTTGTTATTCCCACGACGACGTTTATCTCACAGGGGTTGGCGTTCACATGCCGCCAGATTATGGGGTTTGGGCGGTCCTGCGAAACAGGAATGAGTTTTGGATCGGACCCCCGAGCACAGATCCGGAGAAGTTCGTCGAGGGTTATGATGTAGAACTTGGGGATAGTCCTCCGAGTTTCGAGGATTCAAGTCCATATGGCTACCTGATACATGAGCGTTGTTGGGCAACGGCGACTCGGTTCCTGAATATCGATCTGATATTGGCAAATTTGGATCTGTTTGTCAAATAGTTTCTCCAGAACGGAACAGTCTGGGATGAAACGTGGTGGGACAGAGATCCACATCTTTCTGGGCGAAGTGATAGGTTTAAACGCATTACCGTATGGGTGTGGCTCTGATGAACCGTTCAAGGTGGCTTTTAATACCTAGATGAAGGTAGAAAAGCAACACTACCAATCGCAAATGCAGCTGGATTTGAAGAAGGTTAAGACGCCAGAGGAGCCATCGAGAAAGAAGAGAAAGAAGTTCCGTGAGAGTCCACCATCAACCCATCGGATGAGCCTCCGTTCTTCACCAAAAATCACCATGGTTAAAGTTCCTCCGCCAGAGATTGTCATGATTATTATGGATTTGCTCGACGCACCCCAGGACATGGATACCCTCCTAAAAGTGTTTCCTCGATGGAAGCAAAATGTTCCAGAGACCTACTGGCGTCATCGCTTTATTAAAGATTTGATGCTGGAGGACGAAGAGCTCCCTGGTCTGGACGATTTGGACTGGAAACATGTTTATCTTGAGATGGATCTTGCCGACAACAGCTTACTGGGGTTTGGATATCCGGCGACAGATTGTAAGGCATATGGAGAAAATGAGAACGATCTTTTTCGGTCACCTGGAAAAGACAAGATAGATCTGAGTCATGTTTCCTGAAGAGGGCCTAATATCAGTTATCGCCGACGGAAGCCGGCTATCACCATCATCCCATTGACTCATTGAGTAAGCACTAAAATGCTTACCTCCACTCGTTTGCCTCACTTGGGGTGAATCGCAGTATATTAGCCAGTCACTGTTCCCTTACAACAGCTCAGAATAAATCTCACAGATTCGACAATGTCCGATCCTACCTTTCGCAATTACAGCACTGAGCAGGCGAAGAAATACGCCGAAGCCCGTGGATCATACGGATCCAAGCTGGTCGAACTCGTTATTCGTCACCATGAAGAAACCGGCGGGAACTTCGACGTCCTGCTAGATGTTGGCTGTGGCCCAGGTAACGCAACTCGCGACTTGGCTCTGTCATTCACAGCAGCCGTGGGTGTCGACCCTGGGTTAGAGATGATCCAGGCTGCCCAGGGTCTAGGAGGGTTGACTATGGCTGACCAGCCAATTTCATATCACGTCGCATCCGCCGAGAATTGTACCAGCGTGCCGGGGACTGAGAACGGCGTCGACCTGCTCACAGCAGCGATGGCAGTAAGTATCCATATCTCTTGGTTTTCCCCAACGGAGTCTAATCGCAGCAACAGGCCCATTGGTTCTCAATGCCCGAGTTCTGGGCAGAAGCAGCCAAGGTCGTCAAGCCTGGTGGAACAGTTGCATTATGGACTTCGTCCTCGTTCTTCTGCCGTAAGTGAAACATGTCTCCCGTTCAGTATTCACCGATTGATTGATGATTAGATCCCGCAACTCCCAACGCACAAGAAGTCCAAAAAGCACTCTTCCGTCTAGAGCTCGATGCCCTTGGTCCGTATGAGCTCCCCCCAAATCGAATTTCGCGCGATATGTACGACAACCTGCCCTTGCCCTGGGATGTCGAGCCAGCGGTATCGGCCTTTCCACAAACGGACTTTGTTCGTCACGAGTGGGACCGAGATGGAGTCTTGACCAACGGCGAAGATTTCTTCTTTGATGGAGGGGAAGATACGGTGCAGGAACTGGAGAAGGGTTTCGATACAGCCAGTATGGTGACCCGATGGAGAGAGGATAACCCGCATCTTGTGGGCACGGAGGAGGACTGCGTGAGGGTTGCTATGAGGGAGGTCCGCGAGGCCAGTGGACTGAAGGCGGATGAGAAACTGCGAACTGGATCCTCGACGGTTCTGCTGTTTTTTAAGCGGAGATGAAGATGACTTGGTAATGCTATAGAAGTCAGTGAGATCTCAAATAATGCCTGTTGTCTTCTGAAAATGCCCAATTACCTCAGCTTCTCGCATAGGCTCGATGGGATGGAGATGGACCACTGCCTGAGGCCTGACCATCACCCGCTCTCTGAATTCCGCCTCTCCCCTCCGCCTCTTCTTTCCTCCTTCTCTCCTCCCTCCCTCCCTACTCCCCTTTTCCCTCAAAACTGCCCTCATTCCACTCGTCTCTCTTTGGCATATCTGTATCGGCTCTATATAATGCAATATTCCACACGAAGTCTTCCTCTTCCGCAGGTTGTTTTTGATGGTATTATGATGAAGCCTGAACTACAGACACATTCACTCCATGGCATGCACTTTCACTATGTGTGGGTCTTCCCAGCCATCACTTGAGCCATTCAATATCTTGCTAAGCTATCCTTTCAGCAACGGCCCCATGAGTGAGTCTTGTTTATCGACTCTGTGTCACCCAGCGCGCTCTCCTTCTCAGTATCCTTTTCTTCGTCATCTTGTCAAGCTTGAGATTCCTGTCTTAGGAACTCTGAAATACCCATTCTTCATCTCTCCCAGTGGCTGCCTTTTCAGTCCTCTTACAAGCTACATAGCAATGGATCCCAACGCCGCCGCTGATGAAATCGCTATCTCCCCCAACAGCGACCCTGTCGTCAATGGCTTCATCCAGTCGAATGAAAACAACTACTACTTTCGAGCGATGTTTCTCCGCCAGCGCTGAAACGAGACCAAGGCCCCGATCATCACTCTGGAAAATGGCAATGTAATGGCCATGGAGATCCTATTTTGTAAACTTCATGGCACGCTGTCGGATATCACAAAAAGGGGTTTATCTGTTACCGAGTGGTGGCACCTTATCATGGCCTGTGACAAATACAACATCGACCGAAGACCCTGGGGGAACTGTTCGAGGAGTGGTACAATTCTGCAAAGATCAACAAGGAGTACAAGAAGCCCCGTCTCAAATTCTAGATGGAGGTCGCCTTCCCCTGCTATGCCTTCGACTGTGCAAGCGCCTGTAAGGAGGTTATGAAGACCTTGGTGTACACGAGCACAGGCCACATTGCTGAGAATAATTCAACGAATATCAAACAAATGCACACGCCGCCCCGTGTTTTGCGTAAGTGCAGACCTTTTGATACTATCTGAGGTACTAACAGAACCTTCAGAGCAGCTGAATGCGGCACGTGGACGACTCAGGAACATTCTCCACAAAGGGCTTTTCGAGAAACTAGGAGAGATAGTTGCAGAGGGAAGTTGCCCTTGTAAGGAGATCACTTTTTGAATACCTCCGGGAGCTTTCGAGGATTAAAGTCTGGCCATTGGAAGAATCCTTGAAACATAAGAGTATCGATGACATCATCGCGCAGCTTCATTTGTTCGACCCAACCAAGATGCGCTACGAAGAACAGGCTTCTAAAGACCCCGATAGACGGGAACCCCGGTGTTGTACATGCGGCCACAATTGGTCATACGTGGTCATTGTAGCTGCAGCGCGTGTCACCAAGTATTTCGATGGGTTTTGTCTATATTACATAGACAGCTCGAAGAACCTGTGCGAGGGAGGTGATCAAGACGATGACTACCGGCACTAATATGACCTGTATGCGAGCGAGGTATGACGTCGAATGTCGGATCACTCATGGCCAGCCGACCTGGTATTTCAGCTTCATGGGGCGCCGGAAGAAGAAGACCTTGATAGCAGACTAGTTATTGTACCTCGGGGCGAGGGCACCTGGAAGTTTGTTTTATTTTATCCTAACCAATGAATTACTTTCGAACGGACTATAACGGAAAATCCAAAGTGGGTCTTCTTATCAAGATCAACCGAGTAAAAGACATGACTGGAACCCTCCTCTCCTTTAAGTAGCCCACATACCCCAGACCAGCCATCTACCCCGAGCCCAAAACACTATATCAACAATCAATTCCACAACCCCCTCGAGCCTATGACATCAGAAATCTTTAACACCTACAAAAAGCTCAGCCCAAACCCATCCCAACTAACAATATATCAACGGACCAGACGAAATCGAGCCACGATGAGAACAACCACCCATCAACATCGAGGGGCGTGGCCGGGGGAAGGCTAAGCCAGAGCCTCAATAACCCGGCCCCGCCAGGTTGTGAGGAGCTTTTTAAAGAATTGGGAAGATTGTTCGTTTTATGGTCGGTTCTGAATAGAAATAGGAAGGGGATTACCGTTGACTGCTGGGAGAGGGTTGTCATATAGCTCGTCAGGATATGGGGGAAGGAGAGATGGTAGGGTAGTGATGCTCCGCTGGAGTTCTCTGGAGTTTGTTGGGTCTTCTTCCTGGTGGATGTGGGTGGGAGTTGAGGTTTTGAGTCCGATTACTAGGGGCCGGGAGGCCTGTACCAATTACGTAGAACTACTTACTACCTACCTCTTACTCTAACCAAGGAACCAGATCCGGTAGAATGGCGCTAAGTTCGTAGTATCCCTGACGGAAGCAATTGAGTTGAGGTAGAAGCAAAGACAAGCTAAAGCACTAAAGGAGGTATAAGAAATGCTCAGGGAGCAGCAACTCAGAACAAAGAAGTCGTTCATAACCCATCTAATCCAAAAACATCAGACTACCATTCTGGTTGGTAATTCTCTCATCCAATCGGACCCAAGTCCGATTCCATCCACCATTACCATTGGCCAACTCCGCCTCCAGGACGCGTCCGCCATCCACCAAACGAACATGTCTAGCCGAGGCGGCAAAGTTTCCATTCCGTTCCCACTTGAACTCTCCCCAGCTGTTCGATAGCACACTGTTCAACGGGAGGCACGAGAGCTGCAACTCACCCGAGACCCGACCGCACGCAGCAACCAGATCATGGTGGCTCTCGAGGCGAATGTCTCTGGACGAGGAGGAGAAGTTACCGCGCATAGGCGGGCCGTGGTGCGGAGGGGGTCTGTGATGATGCTGCTGGTGCATTCTCTGCTGCTCTTCCATGCGATGACGTTCTTCCATTCGGCGCTGCTCTTCCATTCGGTATTGTTCCTCCATCCGCCGACGTTCCTCCATCTGACGACGCTCCTCTTCTTCGCGTTCCTTCTTCTCCTTGTGCTTCTTGAACCCGTCTTCGGCGACGGAGCCCATCATCGCTCCGCCGATGGTGCCGAGAATGCCGTGGTTGACTTTGTGGCCGGCGAAACCGCCGGCCGCGCCACCGGCGAGAGCTCCCATCAGGCCTTTGTCGCCCTCACCGGCTGCGGCGGGGTCGGTGGACTCCGGGGAGTACGGAGGAGGCTGTTGGTGGGAGCCGTAGCCTTCTTGCTGAGGGTAGGGTCGGGGCTCGGGGCCGGATTGGTCGTATTGGGGGTATGGGGGCCGTCCGCCGTTGTAGGATGTGTATTCGGGGTTCTGGTAGTTGGGCTGAGGGGATGCGACGCCTGAGTGGGGTTGCTGGTATGGGCTGTAGGGGCGGTTGTAGCCTCCGGCGCCTTGTGGTGGGTAGGGAGAAGAGGCGCCATAGCGGTCTTGGCCGTTCTCGACGGAGGGAGGATAGGAGCCGTAGCCTGTGGAACTGGGGGTGTTGATGGCGGGCGATGACCAGGGCGAGGGGTTCTGCTGACGCTGGTCGCCAGCATTGCCGCTGTTGAAGTATTCTTGAGCGGCCATCGTGTAATCAACTGGTTTCTCGGCTGGAGATTTTTATAGAGGGATGAGGGGTTTAGAGAGAGGAAAAGCAACGCAAAAGGTGGGAGGGGTTGGACTTCTTAAGCTGGTAAGCTGTGGCTGTGTGGGGTTTGGGGGAGGGGCTGCCTGAAACCCCGCTAACCTGGTCCAGTAAGCGCCCATCAGGCACCAAGTGGCGCAGGAATGGATAAGGATCTGATTGGTGGAGCGGAAGCTCTGGGCAGGCTGGGCCACAGGCGGCCTGGCTTAGGGCTGACAAGGGCAGCACAGCCCGCTGGACCGGCTTTCTCAGCCTTCCGGCGTATCGCACGCTCAAAATTTCGTCGAAACACGGTGGATATGATCATTTCACGGTTCTTGGCGTTGCCATAATAACCAGAATTCTGTTCACAGCCTGACACGGAATTGAACAGGCAGATTGATTTCTAGAGTGTCTGGCTGGGCTCGATTCGAGCGGGGACTGCTCATTTCACCCAGCTATATGGGTGGTAGTGGTATGGTTAGAAGATGGTAGGGGTCAGTAAGCTTCAGCATATATTTGGTATTTCGTCAGCCAGCTCTAATACTCTAATTCCCAAAGCGCTAAAGCGGGGTCAAATATCCCTGTCACCGAGAACGCTGCACAAGTCAGTCATCGATGTTGATGCCTGGTGGTAATTGATCCCGGAGTCGGAATAGTAGTTATTCCGTCCTTGGCCGTGGACCCCCTTTAGGAATGGTCTCCCCACTGATAGTAGAATCTCCAATCTTCATGTTGGGCTGGACATCAAAGCCAAAATTTCCAGTTTGCGTAGATCTGGGTTGGAGTAAATCGAAGCTGAAACTTAACTCCCGGTAGATTGTTCGAACAGATCAAGCTCAATTACAACCAGCATTACCCCATATTACAGTCATATCCTAAATCACCCCCTGACGATATAGAACCCATTGACGGCAACTTGCTTATCCCTGGCTTCATCCGTCGGGGCTCTCACACCAATCCGATTCAAGGGAATCTTCTCGGCCAATTTCTGCCCTCGATACTTGACGTTCTGCACGCCTTCTCTCGTTCTATCCATCCAGCTCCCGCTTCCACTACTACTGGCTTCATTACTGCCCCTACTTCTTGTTTCTGTCACTCTGGGTCTATCAGCTGCCCAAGCAGGATGCTTTAGGACACTCTGCGCATAGGACACATCGCATGCGTCAGCTAACATGGCTGCCTCAGCTGCTGCCTCTCGAGCAGTGATGAGATCCTGCTCTGTTTGGCCTCTCGGGGGAGGCACATCAGGATGAAGGAATCCCATGATCCGGATCTGAATCCGAGCTTGAGCCCGAAACGGCACAGCAGGTTCATCGATAAAGCGGATGGTCGTGACCTTCTTCATGGCCTGCGAGAGACTGACTCTCGTCTGCTGCGTCGGATCCCAATATACCATCGACAACACGATGCCCTGCCACGGCCCTGCCACGGAATCAGGTCCCCTTTGCGCCGTAGCCCCAACACCCTCAACCCTCACCCACCCAAAGAAAAACCCATGATACCTATCCAATACTATATCCGAAACTCTAGCCAATCTAAATCTCACTCCATCACCCTCCTCCACATCGACTCTCGCCCTGAAATCCACCGGAAACGGTGCTGCCGGCCCATCCTCCAACGCCACCTGACACCCCAGCTGCACATCCCTCGTCCGCTCCCCATCTCCATCCTCATCCTCATCCCCATCCCCAATCCCCAACACCGAATCCACCCTATCCTCAACCCCACTAACCGAATACGCCGTCTCCGCCGCCGTCCTCGTCACCCACCCCGGCTCATAAGGCTGCACCTTATTCTGTACCGCCTCTGTAACCGGCGCCACGACCGCCTCTGCAGTCGACTGAACATACATCCCGACCACCAAAGCCCCCATCTCCAACGGTAAGGTCGACAAACTCGCCCCCCGCACCGAACTCATACTCCAAGTGGTCGACAACACCCGAAACACCGGACTATAACACACCACCTTCTTCTTCTGCTCATCCCCACACAACACCACCCGAAAATATCCATCCCCCGCCTCAACAGGTATCCTCACTACAACCGTCTCCCTGAGCACATGCTCACGGATCCCTCCTTGCGCGGACTTTCGGAACTTGGCTATATCCCTCTGCCAGGCGCGTTCATCTTCCGGATCGATTTGCTCAGCGCGGATAGGGATAGTAGGGGTGACATTAATCCAGGAGTCGGTCAGTCCGAGGAAGGTCTTTGTGCGCATGCCGGTTTTCCCGGTCCAGCCTTTGTTTTGGAGCCAGAGGGTGCGGGTGGTGGGCAGCGGAGTGGTGGAGAAGATGGAGAGTGTGAGCGAGGTGGAGCTGCTGCGGTAGAAGACGATGCCGTGGGAGTGGCGTAGGATGGTGGTGGTTTTTGTACTTTGCGTGGGGTGGGTTATTAGATTGCCGAGGAGGTGACGGGCTGAGTGGTAGGCTTTTTGAGGGGTTGAGGGGGGTATTTGGGGGGAGGTTGTGGCGCGCGGGGTGGGAGGGGGGAGGACGGTCGTTGGTGGTCATTGTGGGTGGTGGCGGAGCGGATGGGGAGGCGTGGTGTATATGCTGGTGGTGGATTATGAGGTTGGGATGATGGGTGAGGTTGAGGTGATGGTTCTTGTCGTTTCTGCTGCTGCCTTTTGAATGTGGATGGTCGTGGTGGTGGTGTTGGTGGCGAGATAGTGATGACCCCACGGATGGTGCCGTTGGGGGAGGTTTGCGAGACAGGTTTGCGGTTCAAGTGGTGGTTGGTGGCCATGGTGGTAAACCACGATGGAATGTAGATTCTCTGTCCATTCTGTGTCGAGAGTGAGTGTTTAGGAGAGATGCCTGACCCCGGATGGTGGAGTTGGAGTCGTGATGTCGATCGGATAACGTAATCCACAAGCGAACCGGCCACACAAGCGAACCGGCCACCTCCCCTACATGCGTCCGAATCAAGCACTTTTATAGACCCGAAAATTGTATTTTTATATAAAAATCAATTACGTACACGATTAGGATATTGTAATCGCTTATGTTCTAGATTATGACAATCACTGCAGCGTGGTGGCGCCCGTACAAGCCTTGAAGAGGTTGCCAGCCTGGTTTCGTCCGGTATAGATTCTGGCACTTGACACGTGGATTCTTCTTGTTAGATGTGTTGTATCTTTTTCTGAGCTTTCTGGATGGTAAATCTATTCATACACTCAATTTAATATTGAGAACAGGTCTGCTTTTGATAAGATTTCTCATTAATAACGCGTAATTTATGATTCTCTTAAGCCAGGATTATACTGTTATTTAAGACTATTTTAAAGCCTTTAAACATCTGTTCCAGTGCTTTATCTATTAGACTTGATGGACTTTGTGTACGCTGCTGAAGAAGACATTTGATTATAGACACTGACTTTTATAACTAACAGGTATTATAAGATATTTTAAGATTAGATATAGATAAGTATGTAGAAGATGGTATCAGCATATGAAGCTTAATATTAAGCTTATTAAGTACTTGTTCTGGATCTAAAGAGACTAATCCAGCTGCTGTAAAGCTACTTTGAATATTTTTAGATATATATATCTCTGTACAAGCAAGCGGGAAGGTCTCAAGAAAGTCAAGCTTGTTAATATATTTATACCTGAGCCGGGCCTTTGTCAAACCCTAGGATCGCTTCTCCCTGTTCCTGTTAGCTTAGCTCCCGTTCTAATACGTACCTTCGAACTGAATCGAGGTAAATCAGACTGATGACTATCTAAGGGTGACTGGTCCTGAACAAGAAAAGAGAAGTAAGACTAGATAGTGCCGTGCAGCTATCTGTAAGTAAGTGCAGACAAGTATTATTATTAAGCTTTATCAAAATATATGGTTACTTAAAGATAATTATATTAAGCATGAAGAACAGAACTAACTAAGTACATAAAAGAGTGTCCTTATATCCTATCCTTTATCATGGTATCACTATAGTATATCATGCCACTAATATGTTATTTCATATTACTGCCATGTTCTGTTATAATACTGATATATTATAATATATTAATAATATATCCACTGTGATCACGTGTTGTATAACTACTCTGGTTATTGGTTACTCAGATCGGGATTTTACTCAGTAAGAGTCCTTGCTTTTCCGGGCGTGGCCTTCTATCTAATAAGTCTGCCTTACTAGTTTATTCAGCTAGTAGGGGTCTATAACATCACTCCCCCTTCTTCAAGGTTTCTTGTCTTTAAGGAACATAAATCTGTGGTGCCTTTTTCTTGAGATGAGTGTCTGGTATTGTTTTCCCAAAATTTGATTGGGTTATTAACCATGTTATCCAGTTCTTCTGTTTGTAAGAAGAGCCTCTACTGGTAGATTAAGGATGAAGGCTTTCTTACGGTTTTTTCTTATAAGTGCTGCATTCGCCTTCATAAGATATATATCAAATCTGAAAATTCTGATTACTGTAGTAAGTATATTAAAATAAATAGTATTTATTATAAAATATCTGATTCTTTCTTCTCTGATGCTGAGTGGAAGCGTTTGGTCAAGACTTAAAATTCTATTAAAGAAAAGAAAGAAGTTATTCTGGCGAAGCTTCTTTGATTATAAAAGTAAAAACAGTTACTGTAAAGATAAGCTGGTGATTTTATAATTTATAATATAAAGAAAATTAAGGAGCTAGAAGAGCTTGAAAAGTAAGAGTAAAAGAAACATGAGGTGTAAGAGAAACTGTATGATTAAAGAACTGTAATATCTGAGACTAAGGCTAGTACTGTTACAGGTGGTGTTGAACTAACTACTGTGTTTGAGCTTAATCTTAGTTTGTTCTAACTGGTTAACTCTCCTTCTTTCTGGGCGAATTTTGACTTGCTTGCTAATAGTACTGTTTTATAAGCTGGTAATAGCCTGTCAAATTCTTGATAGATTTCCACATGTTTTCTAAGATATTATATTCTTTTTATTTTATTAAGTATTATGATTTGTTACTAATTTTCTTGTAGTCTAGAATCTTTTTAACTTTATATTCTTATTCTATATTATTATTAATCTCCATATTTTCTGTGATTCTAGCGTTCTTTGATGCAGGTTTTAATAATAAGATATAAAATACTGGATAAATTTTGTTTATTGATTTTAGCAATCTTAACCTGTAGTTAACTAGTCTCTTCTTATTTTTAAAAATAAATAATCTTAATTTATAATGATTAAGTTTCTAACTTAATTATTTTATCTTGATATTTTTACAGAGTAAAAATACTTTCTTCTCTCTTTTTAAATTAGGTTTCTTGCTATATCTATAATTATAGTATATCTTACTATATAAGTTTATAAACTTAATATCTCGGGATAACTGGATATATATGTTTTCTATAAATATAATAATATCTTTAATTATATTAATAACTAGTTGCTTTCTTAATAATGTTTCCAGAAATCTTGGATGGTAACTATAATTAGTATAAAATAATGAGATTCTAATTATTAAATAACTAGTATTGTTATATAAGAACTATATTATCAGTAATAGATTTATCTAATTATCTTGCTAGTAATTTATATAGTGTTTTAGATGTTATTTAATTATCTAGTTAACTTTTTCTGTTTGCTTATTTATTTAAAAATAGTAAGCTGTTATTTTTTATTCTTTAATTTTTATAAGATCTGCAAATAATCTCTAGAACTTTGAGATAAATAACTTATCTCTATTTAATATAATGTACTTTAGCATCCCGTGATTAGTAATAATATTTTTAAGAAATAGTTCTATTATCTGTATTACTGTTATTATTATCTTACTTAGTATAAGATAGATATATTTAGTAAGATGATTAGTAATGACTGTGATAATATTAAATCCTTTTAATTCTGGTAATAGACTAATAAAATTAATTATTATCTCTTTTTATAATTATTATAGTATCTTCTATACTTGTATCTATCTGTAGGGCTGGTGTCTTATAAACTTATTTCTGATATAAGTCTTATATTATCTAATATAATCATATATTTTTTATCTGAGGTTCAGAATATAGTAGTTTCTTGTGATTAGTTCTATAGTCTTTTCAACTCTTAAGTAATTCTTGAGTAGTTTATCATAATGTCTAGCCATAATCTCTGTTTTTATAATAGTTAATATAAAGATTAATCCATGAAAGTGGGCTAGTCTATCTTTATTAATAATAACCTTATTTAGTGAGTCTTTGCTCATTTCTTAAAGTGTCTTATCTCTTCTAGTAGTTTTAGCTAATTGTCTAGTTAGATTATTACCTATTTTCAATATTATTGCTAAGTTAGCTTTGTTGTAGCTGATTAACCTATCCACATTTTGCTTCAAGATGGCTGGTTTAATAACTTTCTTATCTAATTCATAGTCTGGCCTGCGGCTCAGTGTATCTACATATTTATTTTCTACTTCTTTATAATGTATAATCTTAAAGTCATACTGTGACAAAATCTTAGCCTATCCTCCCTGTCTTCTGGTCTATTCTTTGATTGTTGTAAAGTAAGTCAAGTTCTTATGATCTGTCTTTATAATAATAATATGTTTTACTTCTTTAAGATAGATCCTTTATTGCTTGAATGCTATTATAATAGCCAGCAATTTCTTATTATAAATATTATAGTTAAGTTCTGCTTAAACCAATTTTCTTAAATGAAATATAATAAGTCTTAACTTTCTGTTTTCTTTAGATTGTGTTATATGTATTCTAACAGCATAGTCTAATATATTAATCTTAATAATGGTTTCTTTCTCTGGATTGTGTTATACAAGTACTAGTAATATAGTAGATTATTATTTAATATTTTTAAATATGCTTTACTATGATTCTTTCTACTAATACTTCTTTAACTTCTTTATTAGCTTAAAGAATAGTATTATATAGATAGCATATCCGTCTATAAATTATTAATAATAATTAATTAATCTAATAAACTGCTGTAGTTCTTTCAGATTCTTAGATTAAGGCTAGTCTTATATAGCTTATACTTTAACTTACTTAATATAAATTCTCTCTATAGATATCCAGTGTTTTAGAAACTCTATTTTCTATATATAGAATTCATACTTCTTTAACTTGTATTATAACTAATATAAGCATAGTTTATATAAAACTAATCTTATATATTTAATATATCTTTTCTTAATCTTTAAGAAGATTAATATATTATTTAGATAAGTAATTATAAGTTTATTAAGATATTCTTCCAGAATCTTGTAAATCTATTATTAAAGTAATACTGGTGCGTTGATAAGCTTAAATAATATAATTAAGTATTTAAAGTATCTATACTTTATTTTAAATATAGTTTTTTATTTTTTATCTTTTGTGATGTGTATATGGTAATATATATTTATAATATTAAGTTTAATAAATTACTTTATTTCTTGTATCTTATTTTAGATTTCTGAAATTAAAGATAACGGGTATTAATTCTTGATTATAATAATATTTAATGACTAATAATCCATATATAGCTGTAAACTGCTGTTCTTTTTTAGTATAAATAGGACTCCATATTCTACTAGCAACTTTGAAGGCTTAATATTATCTTTTACTAGTTAATTATTAATATATTCTTATAGTACCTGTAATTTCTTCTTAAATATTAGATAAATCTTTTTATATACCGGTGACTTTTCTTTTTCTATAGAAATAATATGGTCATGCTTTCTGTGCTAAGGTAATTTAAGTTATTCTGATTATTTAAACAAATTTTTAAATCTCTTATACTATAATAAGATTTATATATTATTTTTAATCATAGTTAGAAGTTTCCATGAATCATTTAGTTCTTATTCTAGTATCTTGATCTCTATATTAGAGCTGTTAATACTATATTCTTAATA